CCCCCCTGCACGCATGCCCGCCCCCTCACCCGCCCACCTGTGTTTCTCCTTAGGATTAAGGATTAGATTTGGGTTTCTCACTCGTTTAAATAGCAAATCGAGGTCATAAAATGAAGCCCAATTTTCAGGCAGGCAGGCAGGCAGAGTTACTACAACTGTAACACTGTCCTTGTTTTTATCAGGACTGTGTGTGCTATAAGAGTCACATAAAGAGTATGGTTATCATTAACATCCCAATATGTACGAGAATATACACAGGACCTTTTTTGGGCTGTTAATGCCATGAGGAGGAGAATAAACCAAAAGACATTGAGGGGAATTTATCAAAACTGGAGCAGGCAAAGTCTGGAGCAGTTGCCCAGGGCAACCAATCCGCTTCTCTCTTCAAATTGTTCTGTTAAGATTTGAACATGAAAGATAGAAGCCGATTGGATGCTATGCACTGCTGCTCCAGAATTGGTCTGCGCCAGTTTTGATGAATCCCCTCTCTGCATGAATACAAAACTCACTCACCTGAGCAACAATGGACAGTATTCCCAACACTGCTATGAAGGCAGCCACACTTTCAGGGGAAAATTTCATTATCTGATGAAAGGGAAAAATAAATCAATTTTAGGTTCTCTCTTAAGAAGCAGCAGATACAAGTTCAAAGTCTAATAAAACCTTCAAATTTCAAGTGATATTAAAAGGGAAAAGGTTTTAAGCTATTTCAGTTCTGACTAAATCACTTACAACAGATGCTACTCGATGTTTAAAAGGTTTAGTTTACTGTAGAGTCAGCTGCTCCCCTAAGCACTGGTCTTAATATCCTGTCTCAGCATGGCTCCTTTCTTTTGTAGGGTCCTATGGAGCCACCATTATGTGTGATAATAAACCGTGTGTGCCTCCACAAAAAACAGACAGAGCAAAGTAAGCCAACCCCTGCTACTCCTTTCTCCAAGCAGGTAGTTGCTGGAGAATGCACTGTCCCTTGTGAGCTTTTACTGGACAGGAAGTTCTTGGAAGCTGATCTGAGAGAGCTGGAGCCAGATGTTCGGAAATATGATGACTAAGTAATAGGGCAGAAATGCAAATAAAGACTTTGTCTGGATTCATTATTAAAAAAAAAAAAGTTTGAGCGTTTAATACTACTTTCAACTTTTTCTGGTAGTGCTGGCATCACATCTTCACTTCGCCCCAAATGTTTCTATTAGCCAATAAGGACACACATCCAAAGGATGGGCTAATAGGAATACACAAGAGGCTGGAGGGGGTAAGGCCAGCACTCAACTGTGGGTGGGCAACACAGCAAACAGAATGCTAACAGGCCATCTATAAAACAGGAACCTCGGGACTGCCAGCAGTTTAAAAGAACCTTACACCCAAAGCGGGCATCAGAGAGAATATTTGAATAGAAGACCAGGTGGCAGTCTTTCAAATCTGGGAAACGGTTGCCCGATTCCAAAATTCCCCAGAAGCATTCATGGACCTAGTGGTGTGCTCCTTGAGAGAAAACGTTGGCACCCCATCCTTCTTAAGACCATAAACTTAAATAATGATCTGCCTGAGTCATCAAGCAATGGTCAAACAGGAAGCTAGATCTTTGTCGGGACCATCAGGAACCACAATGAGTCAGTCTCTCTAATGGAAACAGTGGCGTGAGGTAGACAGGCACAACTCAAACTACATCCAGGCAAAAAAGAGAAATCTCCTTCTGATGTACTGATGCCAGACAGGAGGGATGGAAGTACAATGTCCTGGTTTAAGTGAAAGGTTGAAATCCCCTTAGGAAAGAAAGAGCCTTTAGGCGATCAATACTACTTTGTCTCCATTTAAGACCAGAAAGGTTTTCTTTCACAAGACAAGGCCGCCAGTTCAGACACTCCCCGAGGTGATGGCGACAAGCATGGAAAGGGAAATATCCCTAGCAGATTCAAAGGGCAGTTTCTGAAGCGCAGGAATTCAAACCCTGTTTGAATTGTGAGCTGACTATAATCTTCAAAGAAAAAAATCATCTTGAAATAAAAGAAAAATGGCCAATAAAAAATGGTTAAACTTTCTTTAGTAGAGAAAAGGCATCCATCCTCCTAGGACACCAGAAAAAAAAAAGAAGAGGCATGCTGGTAGTTATACCAGATTGGTCACTTTTTTTGGCTAGTGTCTAAATTCTCCTGTAGGCAGCAGTATAACCTAAATGTATCTGAATCTCTGTGCAATAGGCAAACGTGAGAGGGAAAACCCCAAACTCCCCACAGTGGACCAGAGAAAAGCTGGGGATTATGTAAGAAACATCTCAATGTCGAAGCATGCAGATATTTAAGACAGGGATCGACTCAATCCACCAGGCTCCAACTACGATATAACTATAACCTACAATAGTGACAGTCATGATGTACAGGGCTATAACCGCAGAAGTCTAAAAGGTAAAGATTTGATCAGGTTTTTACATTTTGGACTTTAAGGTTTTGTTGGCACTTTAGGCAGGCACCAATATGAGGGCACGAGGGAATACAAACTGCTCACACATCACAACCAAATGAGTAGAAAGTCTGCCATGGAGCAGGGAGGGGTAAGGCTCCTTATACCAAATTTTATTACATACACACACATTTCACTTTACAAAACTAGGTGGACTAAACAGACAGTGTTATCATTTATATTTTTTTGTGCAAGGTTCACTATGAAAAAAAACAACATTCAAAGAGAGCTCAGTAACTATTCCTTGCATGTCATAGCCCTATCATACTTCCTAGATCCTGCCGATATTGCTTACCTGTCTGAGGTACAGAAAAAAGCTAGAATACTGTCCAGCCTCAGGGAGGTAGGAGAGGAACACTGTAATGCAGATAAGGAGCACAATGGAATCCTGGCCAACTTTCTTCAGAGACTAAAAAAAAAACAAAAAAAAAACCACAGGTAAAGTTATAAATCAAAGTTTTCAGTGCAATTAGATCTAATAATACAGGAAGCCGTGTTTTCAGTGGCTGTCAGGGAAGGAAGATAACCCAAAAAAACAACAGTAAAGCACTTGGAAGTTCAATAAACCTGTACACTTGCTGCATTAATGCATGGTACCACAAAGTGCACCAATGCCTTAATTTCTGTTTAATCCCATTTCTGTTTAACAGAACCAGAATTAAAACACAAAGCCAATCCCTCCATAAAGGGAGCACAAAGCATTACGCTCAAAACCGTAATGAATGCAGTATTTTCATTAACCTGCATCAATTACGTTTTTAAATTTTTTTCTATAAATAGATTAGTTAACCCAATTAATACATTCATTTTTCTTTATGTAATACTCAACTTGCAAAGATATAGCACAGGCCACCAATGCCAACCTCAGCTACCTTGCAGCCTGGCTGTGGTATCAATATGATGATATAATGACCAGGAACAGCCATGCAGATTAGGAAAGTCAATGTAAACTCAAAACACTTAAGCTGCCTTCTTATTCCAGGTCAGTCACTGGAAACGTATTGAAATGATCAATTCAACATACTAGCCAGGCACTTATTTCAGGAGAATGGCATCCACATGCTACCGCTATACAGGTTACCTTTAGGGCGGGGAGTGAAAGTATTGGCTAAATCTGCCATGTCTATAGTAACTAATTTACAAATATCTACTTGTACACAAAATATGAAACAGTGAGCATGTAATAATTTAAAGGTCATGCCTTTTGTTTTATTTAAATATTGCAATAACAACAAAATATGCTCAGTGAAAACACTAGTTCCCTTTAAGCTCAATTGTGGTGACAAAAGTGTTAAACCAGTTGTGGCCCTACTACTTAGAGCCGTGTCAGGAAACTAGAAAACTGATCCCAAGCATGTGCATGTTTTAAACATTTCGGTACTGCCATATTGTAAAAAACAAAAACCCACACATGGCAGGGGATACATTTCTTTAGCGTAGGTTAAACGACACTTCATAACAAACTTGCGCAGCCAGGGGGGCCCGTGAATGGCTGTGAACTGAGCTGTCATTGGACAGCGCAGATTACAATTACAATATACAGAACCAGAGTGGCTCTGTACCTTGCGATTGATGGGAACCAACCACAGCCATCACTAGTTTAAACACTAGTAGTGCTAACAAACCTATAGCTGTTCACAAAGGAGGAAGATCCCCTTAAAGTTAAAGTGCCACTGGCCACCAATGATTGTGAAAGGCAAATGTAAACAAACCCAAATTACTTCCTTTATATAGCAATAAATATAGCCAAAAAAAACAAAACAATGATTATTAAGTATAGCCAAAAGAAAGTTCTGCCTCAAGAAAATGATATCAGATTCATTGAGTATAGTGTTGCATGACTGACTCACAGCACTAAAAACTGGCCTGGTAATGAAGGGGTATATACAGGCTAGTACCGGACTGGTTAAGGAATCCAGTCCTCATCAATATAAAGGCTGCCATTACTGACTTCTCCTCATGAAGTTGCCTGGCCACCATGTTGATCCCTCTTACTTAAATATTCTGTCACTATCCCTGAACGTATTGAAGTCATACAGGCAACATAGTAGCCAGACAACTAACATTTCTCTTAGCAAAGGTTTACTCTAATTGTGGGAGACTTTAGGACTGGTTCTCACCAACATATGGCGATGTTACTGACATAAACGCAGCACCTTTGTATTTGCAGGGTCATGCAGTACTGACCACATAAAAACGGAGCTTCCTGTTTGTGTAGAATACATGCCAGAAATCGGCTCCAATATTTCCCAAGAGCTGCTCTAAATGAAGGTAATCTGAAAGCAATAGCACTTAACTGCAATCAGTAAATGGCTTTACAATAATCTTCCTATCATCATCATCATCATAAGCACATCTCATTATTCCTAGTGTCTTCTGATTATATCATCCCCCTGCAGATTTTTTTTCTGAAAAGGCAGCAGTGATCTTTGGTCACTACACATGGAGATAACAGTGCCATTATAGGCCCAGGTCTTGGCTCTACTTACTGGTTAAATAAATCTGCCCCTAATGTCTGCATGAAATTATCACAGCACTGAAACACCTGGCAATGTAGGGGCATGACAGGCAGTTGAAATTCAAGTAGAGTTAACCGCAATCCCTCCTCCATGGAGCCCTGCAATATAGAAAGGGAGCAAATACAATTCCTTATACAGCTTAGTGGGAAGGAAGGGTGGTTGAAAACAAATATGGGGGCCCCCTGGTCACCTAAATGGAGGGCAAGGCCAAAGGCGTGTGCAGCTCAGAACAGGATAAGAGAAGGGTGGTGCCTTTTACTAAGGAGCTGGAAGGTGGCTCAGTGTGTGACTTAATGGGAATTGTTTTAATAAAATGCTGAGAAACACTTGAAAGTGACACTAAACTAAGGAGTAAAATCTAAAATGCATTCAAGTACCTGAACTATTATTAACAAACATGTAGCTTATTTGTGTATCACTCTGTAGCTGGAGATCCTCAAATCATCTCTGAATTGGTGCCGACACTGTCATTCCTTCTGCAGGGGGGCTACTTTTGTTCTCCATGGTCTCTGTGTGTTGTTAAGTAGCCAGTGCTCCAAGCTCACTCCTGTGATGGACTACAATCTCAATACAAAATTAGTAAAGTAAACATGAGATCGTAGTCCATCACAGGAGCGAGCTTGGAGCGTCAGCACCAATTCAGAGATTATTTGAGGATCTCCAGCTGGAGCGATACACAAAGATACATTTTTGTAATTAGTTCAGGTACCTGAATGCATTTTCAAGATTTAACACCTGAGTTTAGTGTCACTTTAGGATCAGACACAGGCCTAACATGCTGCAGTGTTTTGATTAAACACAGACAGAAAGAGAACATATCTTCAAGAGGAACTTCAGAAAAAAAAGTGTCTAAAATATGTTTGCATACAAGGAGTTAAGTGCAACAAGGTGTATGCCACCTACAAGACCTCTCATTTACAATTTACTGTTAATAAGCACTGATAGTATAGCTAGCACTATACTTCCGGTACACAGGTACTAGACCTTTGGGTCTCCTGCACAGCAGGCCTTACCGCCGCTTCTCTTGCTCAATCACAGAATGTTTGTAATCTGCGAACCCATGTACAAAGTGTTCTATGAATAGACAAGGGAGAGGAAGGGCAGGCATGCAGCTGCTGTGTAAGATGGTTGGATCTCTCCTGTCAAAATGCCAATGTGTAGCAAAAGGTATACCAATGGCACTCAGTGAAAGTGAAAATTGTAAATAAAAGGAAAGCTCCAGGAAGGGACATGCACCTTATTGTACTAGAGGAGAATTAAGAGACGAGTGATTTTCACTCAGCCTCATAATCTGAGCCAACCTGTGACAATCAAACTGTCACAGGTCGGCTCAGTAGATCGGGAAGTGAGCGAACACATACTGTCGCTCGCTCACTTCTCAATCTATCCGTGCAGAGAGCCGTGACTGTCACTCATGGCTCCCTGCAGGGATCCCCCCTCTCCGATTCTCCAGCGCTGACTGGCGGAACGGACGGGGGAGGGGTGGGTACAGCTGGCTCTGCCTCTAGATAGGCAGAGCCAGCTGTCACTAACGCAGCTGGGTGGATCCAGACAGCATTGTCGGGATCCGCTCCAGCTGAGGCGTCTCAGTATACCGCTAGCTGCAGCTCGCGGTATAGCGAGCTTTGGGTGATGGGAGGACGCTAGTTTGTATCCTCCCGTTACCCTTAGGAGAACTATGGGGAAAAGCACTGACCCCATAGTTCTCCTTTACCTCCTTGAAAATACTTCTTTAAAGTGCGAGGTTTGTAAAGCAGTAGAGCTGCTCAGTAGAAGCTAAGGCATAAGGAGTCCTCAGTTCAGTATAATGTACAGCTGGAAATAGCAGAGACATGATGCACTGTTGGCTAACAGAAGTGCTAGATAAATGCTATGCCATTCAATGGGAAGCTCAAATTTTATCCAGTTCATTTAGCAGAGAGAGCAGAGATGTTTACCCAAAGCATGTGAATATTTACATGGGCCTGGCTTGGAGGCATGTATGCATTTGGGAAGGGGGAGAGGCATTTGAGGGTTAGCAAAATGTGCTCTAATCCTTCAAACTGCACATCAACTGTGACCCCGACTAAATAAGTATTGCATAACAGACTAAAGAAACAACAATTGTGTAAGCTGTTCATTCACAGGACACGGATGGAGCCCCCAGCATATTGCAGCTTAAATGTTCAACTATTGACTGCACCATTACCCTCTCCAGAGCTGATCAGAAAAACATATTAGATTATATGTTGGGAATAGAACACACAACTAATACCTCTCTGACCTCCAAAAGTCAAACTACACACAGATAAGACACAGATAAGACAGCTGCTTCTTCCAGCAGAAGTGTTTAGATCTAAGCTTCTAAAAAAGGAAACTATAAATGGTTTACTGTCTGTTTTGTTGTTTATGTTTTAAACAGTTTTATGAATCACTCATCCTCAGAGTTCAAGCCGACAATGAAACTGTGACACGTCCGCTCAATAGATTGGCAAGTGAGAGAACACATACCGTCGCTCGCTCACTTCTCAATCATTTCCCTGCAGAGAGCCGCGACTGTCAGTCACGGCTCCCTGCAGGGATTCCCCCCTCCCCGCTCTGATCCTCCAGCACTGAGTGGAGGAACGGGTGGGGAGGGGGCGGGTACAGCTGGCTTTGCCTCTCCAGATAGGCAGAGCCAGCTGTCACTCACGCAGCTGGGTGGATCTCAACATTTATGTCGGGATCTGTCCCAGCTGCGGCAGTCTCTGTATACCGCGAGCTGTAGCTCCTGATATACTGAGCTTTGGGTCATGGGAGGAGGTTAGTATATGTCCTCCCGTGACCCTCAGGAGAACTATGGGGAAAAACACTTACCCCATAGTTCTCTTGTAAATCAGCTAAAACATGTGCATCAAAACAAAGCATCAAGGTGTGCAATGACTTGCAGATTGTTTTCTTTAGAAAGCAGCCAGAGCCCGAGTAGAAAAGCCCGTCTCTAGCCAGCATACTGCAGAGATACTCTTATTTTTAGTGGAAGCAGTAGTCTCTCTGTAGAGATCCAAACTGCCTCTTCAGCTGATTGGTCTGACTCCGTGTGAGACCACTGCTTCCACACAGAGAGCAAACATGTTTTTCAGCAGAATGTTACAGGGAACATGCTTCTCTATTAGTTGTAAGCAAGAACACGTTTACTGATTTTTTTTTTTTTTTACTGAATACATTACTGGATTAAACGAGGTTCCGTTTAAAATGTTGTTAAGAATTTAAATGATAACAGAGTTGTATTATGGTGTGTCTTTTATATCTGCCTCTAAACTGAAAGTTCACTTGGGCTTTAATACATGATACATTATTCTAAAATCAATATGGGGGTTCAGTAATGAAACAGCACAGTAGTATGTCTTCTGCCAGGCAGACTGGTTCTCACTGAAAGCTTGGATTCATTTTCTTTTTTATACAGAGAGAAATATAGCGATCACAATGTGAAAAGGAGCCTAAAGTAGAGCTGCAGCTAACGATTATTTTCAAAATCGGTTAGCCGATTATTAAGTTCGATGAATCGGTTAAATCGGATAAAAAAATAAAATACAAATAAAAAAATGACTCCAGTGATGGGACTACTAGTTTGTAGGGCTGCAACAACTAAATCGACATAATCGATTATAAATCGATTGAAAAAGTTGTCAACTTTTTCAATAATCGATTAATCGAAACATTATACACAAAGTGTATAATGTATTGCTGGGATTTGTATTCCCATGTATAATTTACAGCACAACATATTCCTCTATAGCTGATGTACCATCAGCTATAGAGGAATACAAATCCCAGCAATACATTATAGAGCACCATGTGTGGGAAAGTGCAGGCTTTCCTGAGCAGCCTTCCAGCAACTTGTTTCTGAGATCGGCCTGTCTATCAGCGGCTGTCATCCGCCCACACCTGCTCCTCCTTACTTCTTCTCCCCGCGTCCCTGTGCCGATCGTGGATGTTGGCGGGCGGCAAGCGTGAGGCGGGGAGGAGGTGCGGCGTGTGGAGCGTGGATGCGGCCAGGTAGGTCTGGCAGCAGTGAGCGTGAGGTGGGGAGGAGGTGTGGCGCGCAGCATGTGTGGAGCCATGAACAGGGCCAACCAATCGGAAGCCGATTAATCGATGATTGGAAAAGTTGACAACTTTTTCAATAATCGATTATAATCGATTAGTTGTTGCAGCCCTAGCCTAAAGCTCTACATGCTGGCATATCAAAAAAATATTCCCACTTTTTTTGTAGCCTTGACCTAAATAAAGAAAAATATCTCCATAGCCAATATATGTTCCCTTTATCCGCCCACTAGTGACCTTCTAAAACAGAGTGTTGCTAACCAACCAGGTTAAAAGAAGTTTAAAGCCAGACACAATTCCCAAACACTTAAAATAAAACAGCAATGTAATAAAAAGCACATTCTGGGACTTCAGAAGTACACAGTATCTTGAGAAACATACTGGCTGTCTTCCAAAGAATGTTCTGCGATTCCAGTTGAGTAACAGGTTGCTCCCCCATCACCCCCAAACTTAAAACAACATTTACAGAAGCAAGCTGCAGCTCTCCTACATAAACCGAATTAAGGGAATATCTACTCTTCTCACATGGATACATTGATTTAAAAAACAGGTCATGTGCTTGCCACTGCTGGATGTGTAATTCGTCATTATAAAACACATTAATAGCTTAGCACTGGAGTTTCAAATTCATCCATCATATAAAAGTTCCCCATTTCAATCCATTATGTTAAACAACGAAGGTATTGCCTGGTTATTTTTAGGAAAAAATGAAATGCACACATTAGTGCCAGGAAGGATGTTACACCCAAAACAGAAGCCGGACCAGAATGACTGATATGTGTAGAACAAAAGCTAGGCGCCATATATTCAGAGACACAGGGTGAAGCCTTGGATCACAAAACCTAGCACTGCTGTCTGATTACCAACAATGAGCAGCTTGTCACCTCCCTCCACAGTTCAGTGAAAGAAAGGTATGTCTATATATAATATGTAAAAATCAATCAACACGACTCAAATTGTAATTACTCTGACATAACATAGCTATGAATGAGGTTACTTACTGCAAAAGGATCCGCTTGCTCCCATGAAATTGGGGCTCCCCATGATGCAGGCCTCATTTTTTCTGGAAGTGACTCTGGAACAGCCACCAAGATGAAGCAGATGTCAAGCAGCGCTATTGCAGTGGCTAGTAGCACCACAAGAGAGTCTCCATATGCATGACTGAGGTAAGCTCCAATGGCTGGACTAGTGACAAGACTAGCTGCAAACGTGGCAGATACCTGCAAAGGAAGGCAGAATTTAAACCAAGCAATACAAGTAAAGCACCAGGAAGGTGTCCGCTAAAAAGACGCCCTGTATTGTCCAGAGTAAACAAGAACATGAAAGAGAAATTGATTTGGCTAAAAGTGACATATGCAGTTCTTCTTTACATATATAAGGCCAAACTGATAGACCCCTTTCATGTTTAAGAAAAAGTATCAAATCAAAAATCTGACATTCATCCTGCTAAATTGCACCTACTTGAATTCTGTGTGGATGGAGGCAAAAACTAATGTTATCAACAGATTGAATGCAATATCAGAAAAATGCAGCATTATGGCTACTAGATGAAGCTGAGGAGCATAAGACACAATTATTTCCTACGCTTAGCACCATCTGGTGGTCCTAATGTGGTATTTGCCTGGTATTTCAATAAACATGGGAAAAATATGCTAATAACATTTGTTTTTGCCTCCATATGGACAGAGGGAACGTACATGCAATTACACAGGGGGAACAGTGTACGTAAACCCCAACAATAGACTTCTATGTGCTTTAAAAGGAGAACTATGGGATCAGTGCTTTTCCTTATAGTTCTCCTAAGGGTAACAGGAGGGTCCCGTCACCCAAAGCTCAGTATACCGCGAGCTACAGCTCGCGGTATACTGAGCCCGCCGCAGCCGGGACGGATCCCGACATTACTGTTGAGATCCACCCAGCTGCGTAATTGACAGCTGGCTCTGCCTATCTAGAGGCAGAGCCAGCTGTACCCGCCCCCTCCCCCATCCGTTCCGCCAGTCAGCGCTGGAGGATCGGACAGGGGAAGGGGGGGAAATCCTTGCAGGGAGCCGTGACTGACAGTCACCTCTCTCTGCAGGGACATGATCGAGACGTGAACGAGCGACGGTATGTGTTCGCTCACTTCCCGATCTATTCAGCCGACGTGTGACAGTTCATTGTCACATGTCGGCTCGAACTATGAGGAGAGTGATTTTTCACTCACCTCATAGTTCTCTTTTAATATTGTCCTTTTTTTTCTGGGTTGGCGGGGTGGGGGATGAGGGGAGACTAATGCAGCCACCATGTCTGAGGACTGGTAAGATAAAATATTACATTTTTGTTCTTGGGTTAAGATAATCTTTAAAGAGGAACTTTACCCATATCTTTAAAATAACGACAAACACAAATTTAAAACAAACACATTCTTCTAGATAATTGCAGGCTTTGTATTCTTTGCATCCCTTATTTCTCTCTTCTTCCCCCGTCTTCTGACAGTGGCCATGTTAACTAAGTGCAGGTTACTAGCTCTCCTAATACTTCCTGGATTTCTGGGACAAGTGACTAGGACATGTGACCATGCACATCATCTCAGGGGAGGAAAATGCCTTTCCCCTGAGATCTGGTGATATTTCCTAGCAATCCTCTGCTGATGTAACCTTCCCAGGATGCAACACATTGGCACATTACATAATTTGTGCCAGAACTGGACCAGGAAGTAGATAAACTCTATTTGTAAGTGAATGAAGAACAAGTTTAAACTAAAGAATATAAGATGATTTTAAACCAGCATGCAGAGCTGGGGTAAAGGTCCACATTAAGGAGTTTATTTACAAAACAAGCAAACTCTAAATGTAAATTATTGGGTTTTGCATAGATGGGCAGATGTCACCACCAAAAACAATGTGCAGGAATATATATATGAGCATATCCACACAGGATCTACGGCTGTCACCTTCCTAACAGGTGGTATCACATACATACTTTAGTTCTACTTTTTGCTCTTCCCAAGACAGGTGATTAGCCGGCTCACTCAGTTTTTCCAACAAACAAAAAACTGAAGATTATTGTTCTCTATAAATCATAAATGCCACGTTTTGCCACCAATGTACCCTCCCAACACCAAATTCCCCATAAACAGCTTGGATTTAACCCAAACATTAGATGAGGGTGGAATCAGAATGTTTATGGTCAGCCTAAGGCTCCTGTGAAAGACTTTTCTGTGCCTTGAAGTACACGTATCATGAGAACAATATCGGAGCTCCCATTGCTGATCACCTGAAAACGATAGCAGCCTGTCTTTTCTGATCAAATGTACAAAACAGTAATGCCAGATTTTAGCCATAACTTTTGTATATACATTTCCAAAATCAGTTACATAGAATGTAATGAAAGCAAGTGGGTAACCATCTACATGTAGACAACTAGCATTTTCAGAAGAAGGTGGGTAGCAAAGGCACAGATATCTTGAATGCCAGGTAACTTTTTAAAAGAGGATTCTGGACAAGCTAAACTTTTCAATTGTACTGGCAAACTGAATCAGTACATTTCAAGAAAAGGGGCCCGACGGGACAGAATATCTAGAAATGTCTGACAATTCCAAGAGAAGCAGAGCCAGCTGTCAATCAGGTAGTGGGGTGCAGTTCAGGTCTGCACACTCAGCATATAGTAGGCTATAGCCAGCTATATGCTGAGCTTTGGGTCACAGGAGGGGGTTAGTAAATGTCCTCCTGTGACCCTAGAGAACTATGGCCAAAAAAGGTTTGGCCTTAGTTCTCTTTTAATAGTGCACAGCCCACATCTATCACACGTAATCTTAATCTTCACACTCCAGGTACAGATGTGTAGAAGGAAACGTGCGCTGGCCACAAGCAAAGGGGCTAAGAGGGCCACACTCCTCTTTTTATGACCAAATGCTGATTATGTAAATAACTCTAGGAACAATCAATGTAAAGATTTGTCACTTATAAAAAGATGGACATAGCTGTGTAAACATCACAAGAGCTACACTGCTCTTATTCCACTCACACCCGGCCATGAACTGCAACCATTTCCACAAAGGGATTCTGATTAAAGTGCTCTGAGCAGAGATTTGCTGTGTTAGAAAACAAGAAAAATCTGCCAAAACAAGTTATCATCTTTACACAGGAGCAGTTACTCGCCTCAGAAAACTTTAGTGCTGCACTGTGGCAGGTGGGCAACTTGTTTGCATTATGGTTGCCCATTTATTATGAATGGGTGCCAACACACCACAGGAGATGTAAAAAAATAAACTTCACTATAAGTTAAAGAGAACCAGTAATTTCCTTACAATGTGTAGCATACACCGCACAGCCTATACTGTGTGTCCTCTCTCTGCTTAGGAGAACTATAAATTCCAAACCAAGTTTAGGCAACTGAGGCCACAACTTATTTCAGACTCTGGATTTGTATGCATTTAGTTCCAATGCCAGCAACATCATTATTCTGGAAACAGAAGTTGGCCTTATTTGTCTACAGGTGGCTTAACATGAAGAACACAAAAGATGGGCATGACTGCGTTATAGTTCATAGTGCACTAAATTATTGAGATGGGCTACAAGGTTTCAGTGCAGAAACTTTTGAATTAGCTATAGCCAATGGCTACATGACCTACTTACCAGTCCATATGCCATGCTTCTTTCATGTTCCTGCGTTATGTCAGCCACATAAGCAAATACCACAGAGAATGTGACAGCAAATACCCCTGATACAGATATAACAGCGAAGTACCACCTAAAAAAATATATATATTAGAAAAAAAGTTAAGAATGTAAATTAGAGCACCAATTAAAACTGTTCAGCAAATTGGAATACTACCACTGTGTGTTAATTCCATTTCCCTATAAAATTATTAATGAACCCTTACAGTCAGGCGGAACAGTGCCTTTGTGTGGACTGTATCCCATTACTGGACTACTACATCACTTTGCATATAAGGTTTCCCCTAGAAAGCAGTAGTGTGAAGGAAGACGTGTACAAAGGCTTTCCTAACTATCCTAATTGTGAATTACCAGACCGAAGAGTCCCAAACAGGTAGAGGTGGGAATCACAGGCTGTGGATAACAAATTACAAGCTTTACACAGCTTGTCTACCCAAGCAAACCAGAATAAAAAAACAAAAACCCTAGTTTGGATGTTTCCCCAATACATATTTCTATGCCAAAACTAATATATATTAACAGTACATACTGTGGATGCCTGCAACAGAAAGGAAGAATTGCTTCTACATACCATGGACTGATCTTCATAAGTGGAATAGGAGCACATGTGAAGAACACTGTTAGCAGCAAGAAGGACTTTCTTCCCCAGACATCAGATAATGCTCCTATCAAAGGAGCACTGAGGAATGACAATAAACCCTACAGAAGAAAACAATGTCATTAATACCACACACAGTTATATGGCATGTACTGATTTACCACATCTCACGAAACAAACAGGTCCCTGCATGTAGACCTCACATGAATTCATTTTATATCAGACTAAACCAGTTTCCTGAACACACAAAAGGCAAAATGCTGCCAGGAAATTGACAAAACACGTGACAACTGAATGTATTATTACAGAAGAGCGAATCTTTAGAAATCCAATCTATCCTTCATTTGTGACCAGAAGAATCCCTGCAAAATTCTACAAACTGCACACATAATTGGCTTCAGATTTTGTTGACTTAAAAGATTCCCAGTGGGCAACACACAAACCTATCAGGACTCTTTGTGCAGCCAACCTTTTTACAGGTTAATTTTTTAATCCAGAATTTTATACTGCGTGGTTCTAAAAGGACATCACCACCTCATGCCAATCTGTCATTTCTACTAAACAAGCGGAGTAGAGAGGTATGAGATTTCAATGAGCCTGTAGGAAATGTGATGTGGACTGTCACAACTAACACACAAAAGGCAGAAACAAACAGGAGAGGGGAAATGCTCCTCATAATGGAACATTCCACAGGATGGCAACCGACCGGCTTTAGCAGATTACAAACTTTTTAGATTATTAGACTAGAGTCATGATTTTATACTGTGCTGCCATCATTATTTATGAATGAAAATAATAACTGCCCTTTGAATAGAGCTGCACTCAATAGTTCAGGGGAGGAGTAAGGTAGTTTGAGGTTGCAGTGTTAAAGGGCCTTTTGACTTCACTTACGGATTTACGCAACGCCAACCCTCTCTTCCTAAGCCCATCAATAGTAAAAGTGTATGTAAACCCAAACAATGATCTTCTCATTGGTCTATTAATAATACAATTGAAAGATTTTTGTTATGCAAAGTGCAAAAATATACCTGTTGAACTTGTCAGAAGCTGAGAACTGTATTGTGTCTTTTATACACCTCCTGTGTTATCACAAAGCACCTGATTGGCCAACCAAGTTTTCATTTTGGGACTAAAGATCAACTAGCCTTTATGTTGTGTACAATAGAACAGGAGGTGGGTTTGAGTAGTTTAGCAACAACAACTTGGAGGGCTGACACCACTAATCCACAAATATGCTTGGTGTTGTCACCCCACAACAGGACTTTTCTGACAGACTAGCAGGTATTTTTCTGTACTTGCAGAGTGTAAAACTTAAAAAGATCCTGTCTCCATGCCTATGGGGCAAAGTGAAAGTATCTTAGCAAAAGGTCCCCCCTATACTTACATTGCCTGCGCACCCATGCTACTCCTTCACTCATGTGGCAGTGCTCAGACAGGGCGATTGGTTACCTAGGCCTGAGCACTGTTACAGAGGAGCAGTTATGTGCCCCTATACCTCAGGAGCGCACAGTTGGTATCACTCGACACCCAAGACATACAGTTCTGGGCGCCGGTCAGGTGTTTTTTTTTTTAATACATATAGCCCTGATGCGGGCAAGCAGGGCTAAATGTAATGCAGGGGAGCTGCCGCTCGTTTTACGCAAAATATTTGAGCGTTCTTCCCCTGCCCCACCATGATTTTGGGGGTCTCCCGCTCTTCTGGGGGACCCAGGACCAGAGCAAACAACTTCCGGAGAGCGGGGAGCAGACTGGAGAACGTCCCTGCTCCAATCTGAATGATCGAGACAGGAGCTCTGTCCAGCTCTTCCTGTCTCAGCTGTCACAAGCCCAGCCCCACAGAAAATAGAGGACAATGCTGTGCTCAATCTTCTTTATTAGAGTCTAATAGGGGGACATCTAGTCTAATTATGGAGACATCTGGGGTCTAATATACCCCAGATGTTTTCATGGAAAAATTACACAAAGTGGGAAGAGGGAGAACCAAGTTAAAACCTCCTTAAAAGTAGAGAGCTGGAGGACAGAGTTTGAAAGACTGTTGACTTGAGGCAAAGTCAAAAACAATATTCACTTTCAGGGAAACTTGCTGGGATTATAAGCAGAGGATTGTTATGCTGAGCACAGGTACATTTTAATCACAAATAATTGTAATATAGCTCACACACACACAAACAACTTCATGTAGAGATTTCAGACTCCTGGAATGAGAAATTCCTTACCTTTACTCCCTGGATGAGTCCATTCATAAGGAAGGTATGCTTAGGGAATGTCTCATGCAAAACCTACATAGGTAACAAAAAAATAAAAAAAATAACGTGGTTTAAGTGCTTGCAAGCGTTCAGCAATACAGGAAGTGGTTATGACACATTTTGTGGTTTGCAAGTCTAAAGCCCCCACTACTGAAAATAACATTTTTTTGTTTTTTTGGAAGAAATGACTGTCACAGCTAAAAGGGACACAACTAGAACAGGTCACATATCAAAGTATAAAGGAAAGTTGGAATCAACTTTTGAAAAGAACTAGTGTGGAAATAAAGAACAGGCCTCTTTAATAAAAGGTCACAATGACCTAAAAATCTGAGTAGGCATGCTGAAGATTCCACTGTACCCTGAAGCTCTTGAAGACAGCAGGGTATGGGCTCTCTGCCCACCACAAAAGGTAAGTATTCAGAGGCTTCTATTGCTGGGAGCTTACAAACATCGGTGCTTGTAACCGAAAAACCTGTATCGGTGCATCCCTAGTACAGATAGTACACCCGTACCAGGTGAGAGGGAAGGACCATTCGCTGAAAGGCAAGTATATCAGAGGGAGCCAGATTTGAGTGGGTTAATTTATTTTCCCAAAATTACTTGGGAAAATAAATGCACTCTTTAATGCACATTGTGTGCATTAGATAGTGCTGCTGCCCGACTACCACAATATGGCACACAGTGGAAAGGGGGCACCACTCAGCACACACAATGCACTTCACATGCATATGGCAGGGGTGGCGGGGTTGGTTTAAAAAAAAAAATGTTTTCTTACTTTTTTATATTTTAATTACTTTACCAGTTTTTTTTTTCAGTTTTTTTTCCCCCACTAGATTTTCACCTAAATTTATTGCCAATCACAGAGGGGCTAACAAGGTCCCCACACTAAGGCCTGGTTCACACCTGGGCGTTTTACAGCACTGATCGACGCGCTGTAAAATGCCCAGCAAGTGAAAACCAATTATTTCCTATGGGCATGGTTCCCACCTGGGCGTATCTCAGCACGTAGGAACGCCCTACGCCCAAAGAAGTACAGGAGCTTCTTTGGGGAGTTTTTCCATTATCCATTAGGATACAGCCGGATAGCCCTCGTAAACGCGCGTTTGGTTGACCGCAAATCGCGGTAAGAACACGCGGCATACACGCATATTCCGGTGAACCCAGCCTAAGGCTGGGTTCACACCTGGGCGTTTTTCAAGCAGTGAAATCCTACTCCCACTGCTCAAGCAGTGAAATCCTATTAATTCCTACGGGCATGGTTCCCACCTAGGCGTATTTCAGCGCGTTTTGACGCGCTGAAAAACGCCCTACGCCTGAAATAGTACAGGTGCTTCTTTGGGGCGGATTTCCGCGTGTGTCCATTAGGATACAGCCTGATAGATTTCGTAAGTACAAGTAATACAGTGGTACCTCAGTTCACGAATTTAATTAGTGCCACGATTCTAGTCGCGAACCGAATCAAACTGTGATCAGCCCGCAATCTCGACTAGAGGAAGCCACGACTATTGTCATAGCAGGGAAAATGGCTGTGTTTGTGTTCATAACCTGATGCGGAGTTCGCGAACGGAAGCAAAATTTTGCTGAAGTTCCTGTTCGCGAACAGAAGCGTTAGTGAACCGAGGTACCACTTTCAATGAGTAGAATATAAGATGAACCAACAAACTAACCAAACAGCAAGAAGAAACTCTAATAGCAACATGAAAAAACCCCCCAACAACCAAACGTTGTCATCTGTAACCAGTACATGTCATTCTGCACTGAAGAAACAGAACTTACCACCAATGTCGGAGCAGTAAGCAAGCCCCAGGCAAAGAACTCGAGGAAGATCACAATGACAGCATGATACACGCTGGGAGAACCAAACCCCTGAGGCTGGAAAAAAATAGAAAAATAGAGTTAACTTAATAGAAAGCAAACCATTTGTATTTAGGGAATAAAGGATAAACCACAAATCGTTTTACATTTACAGCTTAGCTGTAGAGACTGTACAGTAGACTGCAAGAGGCTGATACCAGGTCCAATCCAGGTACTGCTTGCTTGTTTTTAAAGCTGATCTCCGCAATAGGCAAATATGGTCTAAATCAGGAGAGGGCAACTCTGGCCCTCCAGCTATTATAGAACTGCAACTTCCATGATGCACTGCAAGACTGACAGAAACAGGCATGATGGTATTTGTAGTTAAAGCACAGCTGGAGGGACGCGTTGCCTACCCCTGGTCTTTATACAAGAAACCTGTGCATTCTTACTTGAATCTTGGTGTGATTTGTCTATTTCTTTCAGATCTGTGCAGGGATCAGCGCAAAACATTTTCTCTGTGCTGGAGTTTTCAATAATAAAGACCAGTCACTCCTGCTCTCCCTCCTTGTGCAGGGTGACTGGTCTAGGTCTCCGCCCCCCTCCTGAGGTAGGTGGGGCCTGCTGAACCCATCCCACAGAGCTGCTCTCTGCAAAGGCTTTGCACCGTGATTATGTCAGTGCTACTTTTACATGGTAATTACTGGATTTGTAAAGGCATTTGGTTCACACAAAGTGGATTTATAGCCTTTGTGGCTATTGAGGAATTTATTTAAAATACATTTCCTTTGGGGTTCAGCTTTAAAAAAAAAAAACATTTAAAAGGGGAAAGATTACAGAGTTGCATTAATTTGTGTCTTTTATATTAACCTAGAGTTTAGCTACAATTATATGAACAACTTTACTAACATATGGACTTTACTTGAATCTGCAAAGTAATTTACTAGCTATGCTGCGTCCCAATCTGAGCTCACTGTTCCCCTTACAGTTGTTCATCAATCCTTTGATACAGAGGTCCAGCCAGAGGGATAGGCCCTATAACTCTATTCTAGTGTACACAATGCAACTGTAATTACCAGTTCACTGGGTAACTATAGAAATAAAAAAGTCTGCTTACATTTTGCTTATTTGGTAACTTCTACATCCCAACACTGTGACTGGACAATGAAGGCGCAGCAACATATCCATGAGGTCATTCCTGTGCATTCCCCTCCACTGTCCAAAGTCATAGAACCCTGACAGGGTCCGAGTACTGCCCCTTCCTCTCCACCTTCTCTGCTGGCTGCTAAGCAAGGCATTGATTACACAGAAGACTGACGGAGACAGGATTGACATGCAAGCACTAGTTTTAAGCAAGAAGACATTTAATGATTTCACTGTCTACATCACTTGATTAAACAGGATTTAGGGGGGGGTTGAGTTCAACTCACATGCCACATGTTTTCTGCAATAAATGAGATGTACCTCCAGCTTAATTCACTTTTTTTTACACTCACCGTGCCACCATCTTTAATGATGATTTTTTTGGCAAGGAGTACACTGCGATTCACTCTCTTCTTTTTCTTCCCCTGAGTCATTTTTACATCACTCTTGTCCTCCTAACATCTGCCTAGAAAAAAAAGAATGTGAATCATGTAACAAATTTACAAAACACACAAAGCGATCTTGTAAAAACAGCACCGTAATCAAATATTCAATTCTGCGAAAAGGGCGAACACAGATTCTAATATGAAGCAATCATTCATAATATAACTGAAAAGTGTATAGCTTAGCAACATCAAATGCACTTAATTATATTATGTTCAGAGTATGGGGGAGGATACTGATGCACCAGGTATCTTCTGAAGGAAAAAAAAAAAAAAGATGGGTATTGGCAGAATTTGGAAAAGAGCTATGTGACAAAAGGATCAATTGATAACATAATGGAAAAGCCGACAGCTGCATCTGTTTACTAACAGAAGGGTCCAAAGGTGACAAAGGAAATAGATAAATGGACACATCTATTTACCATTTGTGGATATTAACAATGGAAAAACAAGTCAGTTAGATTGTGCAGCAACAGAAACAAAGTCGCTTCAAGTCATAAACCAGAAAAACAAACTGTCTGCTGAGGACCGGACACAGAATTGCAGCACTGGGCATTATTGCAACTGACACAAACACAATACCAGAACACAGCACTGGACTTAGCCAGCAGTCTGAATATTCTGTCTTCAGTTATTAGAACTCTGCCGTCTGTCTTATGAAAAGATTTAGGGAGAAAACACACCTTTCCTCCTGCAATGCATGTTACGTGTGTTAGCACCCGAATGGACAGTAACGCTACTGCGAGTTGTGATGTGCTGCATCAGAAAAAAATGCTACAGTTTTTTTTGCTCCATTCTTGTGCATGGGCATTACATCCAAAATAAATGGGCTGTCTAAACAAAATTTATGGTAACAAGTGAGATGGGTTAACACAAGGCACAAGAACAGACAGGACAGAAAATGGGCTGTTAGGAATCCCCTGCTTCCATTGTAGTATGACTGCAGCTGATGTCAGATTACCCGATTGGAGCTTGCAGTTGATTGGACGCAAGCTCTGTTCGGCTGAGAATTTTCCAACCTGCTCTACTGAACGAGGGATGACGGGTGGAAGAGTGCCACCAGGGGCACCCCCTGTGTGAATTTCGGCATGGTTCTTGGTGAACCCCAAATTCACACCGTGTATAGCCTACTATACTCCACAGTTTAGCTTTACTAAACATGACTAGAGCTGCAACTAATGATTCATTTTCATAATTGATAGTTGGATTTTTTTATTTAGATCGGATAAAAAAATACCATCCCTTATTTAACCACTTAAAGGCCATGGTGTTTCACCCCCTTCCTGGCCAGGCCATTTTTCAATATTCAGCGCTGCGGTACTTTGACTGATGTTTATTCCGTCATGCAACGCTGTACTGAAATGAATTTCATACAATTTTTTGGGGACAGATAAAGCTTTCTTTTAGTGGTATTTAATTTTTTACTATACAACAAAAAAAGTACCCTAAATTTTGAAAAAAAAACATGTTTCCCTATAAAATGTTATGAAACATTTATTTTCACCCCAATTTTTTGGTATAATATAAAAGACGGGGTCACGTCGGGTAAATAGACACTAAACATGTCAACCTTTAAAATTGCGCGCACCCGCGAAGTCGCAGAAAACTTCCCACAACCAAAATTGGCCATAGGCGATGCTTTAAACGTATTTACCGCTCATCAGTTTAGTGTCATCAGTGATTGATGGCCCTAGAATTATTGTTCTCACTGCAACGTTCGCTGCGATATGTAACATGTGCTGCATAATGGGCGCAATCGTCGTTTTTGTACATAGGCGCACCCGACACATGTTTGCGGGTGTATGTGGGGGGGCCGGGGGACTTTAAAACATTTTGTGTTATTTTGTTTAATTATTATTTGTGAATATTTTTTT